AGGTGGCTGCCTCAGGTCAGCACCTGGGCTTGATAGAATGAGGAAGAAAACAGCATCAGTGGAGCCTCCGAAAAATCTGGAGAAGATTTTTTTTTTCTTCCAAATATGGAAGATACAAAGATCAAGGACGACAGGCTAGTGATTAGGTCATGTGACTGGTATGGCAGGTCACTGGTTTTTCTGGACCCAGTCCCAACTGTCTTCGTTCTCTTTTCGGTTCTTCTCGGCCTCAATGATTTCTTTGTACCTTCGGCGAAAGAAGCCCATCTGAAAGGCAGAAGCAGAGAGCAGAGAAGCTAGGTTAGAAATGCTGGACAATCAGCCCTTTGATTCCAAGGCAGCTGGTCTACAATCTCTGGGCAGCGAAGGCTTGGAGAGCTCCTCGGATTTTAGAACACACACTGGAGGAGACCAGCAGATGGTGTAATGGTTACATCGCTGGACTCCCACATAGTCAACCATGGTTCGAGTCCCGAACCCGACGGCTTAAAACTCATGCTGGGGCACACGTGTGTGTTTTAATATCTGGGTTGGATTCGCCATCTGTGGAACAATGTGCTAAATGCTGCCCTCACTTTATAGGCTTTTAAAGCACCTGCAAGTCTTGTGTTCCACCCTGCTGTCATCTAGATCCTTCTCTCAAACCTGTGGAATTCATGCTGGCTGAGGGCCAGTTAGCAGTTGTGCGCTCACCCAGCACCGGTGTTTCCGCAGACCCAGGGTGGCAGGCAGGTTCCTTGGGCTGAGTCCTGGAAAGACTGCCCCTCTGAGACGACTTTTCACACAACGAGGTTCTCGCTTTTCTCAGTCACCACAGGTGCTACTGCCAAAGACGTGAGCAGATCCTTGTGGTTCCAATCTTACCTCTTCTCCCATACGCAGGGGGACCTGGCATCTCTTCTTTTTATCTTTTTCTGCTCATTCATTCATTTATTTGTAAAGAATTATTTGTTTTATTATTTTTTAACTTGCTGTAGATAGGGCACATGCACTTACCGGGGAGATGGAGAGAGGGAGAGAGAAGAAAAGTGAGAAAGCAAGCAACCAGGTCCAGGACTTGAACCACAGTTGGCCATGTGGGAGTCTAGCACCTTAACCACCATGCCACCTGCTAGCTCTGTGTTTCTTTTTTCTTTTCTTTTTTTTTTTTTGCACATCCACTTGCTAGAGAGAGACAGAAAAAGGGAGAATGAGAAAGCACCCCCAGGGTGGGTGGCCAGGCTGCAGTCCCTTTTCTTCCATTCTCCTCTAGGGATTTTGGGCATGAGTTTTAAGCTGCTGGGTCCAGGACTCAAACTGCGGTTGATTAACCATTACGCCATCTGCTGGTCCCTGTGATTTTCTTTTTCTTTATTTTATTTTATTTAACTTTATTTTAATTTGACCAGAGAGGGGCAGAGTGAGAGAGAGAGAGAGAGAGAGGGAAAGTGAGAAAGCAAGCCACCAGGTCCAGGACTCAAACCATGGTCAGCTATGTGGGAGTCCAGTGCCTTAACTATCATGCCACCTGCTGACTCTGGTCCCTGTGATTTTCAAGTCTAGGACTTGAACTGTGGTCAGTCAGGTGGAAGTCCTGCACCTTAACCACCATGTCACCTGCTGGCCCCTTATTTTTATTTATTTAATTATTATTATTGTTTTAGTTTTCCTATAGGGCATGTGTACTCGCCCAAGAGACAGGAAAACAGGGAGACAGAAAGAGAGAAATCACCACCTGGGGGGGATGACCACGCCGCAATCCTTAGTCCTCCATTCTCCTCTCAGGATTTTGGGCACTCACGCAAACATGCCCGGCGTGGGACTCAAACCATGGTCGATGATGTGGGAGTCCAGTGCCATAACCATTACAACATCTGCTGGTCCCAAGGTGACCCATGTTTAATTCCAGAGAAGTAAAATGCCCCTACAGTGGTACTAATGAACTATCCCAGTCTCTTCCCTGGTCTTCTGCATTTGTCTTAGAACTCCTGGAAGCAGGGTTTGCGCCTGTACTTGGCCGTGATGAACTGCAAAAAGTGCCCACAGACCTTAATTCCCTGTCTCTAGACCCTTCCCATGGACTCTGCAGTGACTCCCACTAGGAGGTGGTCTATTTTCCCAGCCTTGACTCTGCTAAGATGCACTCTGACATCTGAATGGGAGAGCACTAGCCATTCCACACTCAGGCCCCGGGGGCTGTGCACACTTCCGATTACTCTCTGAACCCTGCCCTGCCTCCATGCAAACAGGCTGGTCTTGCCTCCTGGAAGAGGAGGGACCACCAGTGGAGGCCCTCCCACACCACCCCGCCCCAGCCATCTGCGCATGCACCTGTGAATCCAGTCAACACTGAAGGACTCTCCAGCTGTGCTCAGTCCAAACCGCCAACCCATAAAAGTATGCACGACTTGTATGGTCGGTGCTTGGCACCCACTGAACTTGGGGTGCTTTGTTACGCGGCATAAGCGAACCGATGCAGAATTCACTCCCCCCCCCCGCCCCCAACTTCCTGGTGAATCCGAGGGATGGCTGACAACATTCTAGATAAAGAACGATTCATGTCGATGGTTTGGACTTTTCTTGTTCATCTCTAACAAGGATAAAAGTTGGCCCACTTTTCCACGGCTGTGCTGGAGTTAAGGATTTGATACTGAGAATGTGTCGATAATCTAGGAAGTATTTAAAACATCCAAAATGGCTCTCACATAGGGCTCTTGTGTACTTGTGGATTTTTTTTTTTATATATGCAAGAGGGTGTGTGCACTTGTCAGAGAGAAACAGAGAGGGAGAGGAGAAAGCACTCCCTGGGGTGGGAAGTCTTGATGGCATCCCTTCTCCTCCACTCTCCTGTTCATTGGGATTTTGACCATGTATGCACATGCGCCTGGTGTGTTTTCCAGGCTGCTGGGTCCAGAACTCTAACTTAGCACAGCTGGCCATGTGGGATCTGCCTGCCTTAACCACCAGCCCAAGAAGTCGACTCACGCTCATCTTTTCATGCGTGTCATCCTCGTTACAACAACGGCAAGGCCTCGCCATCTCGGGCAGGCCCCCAGCAGCTCTCTCCTCTTAGTGGAGCAGGGTCAGCATTAGGTCCGGATATTATTTCCCTTCAACTCTGGCTGCCGGTGTCTGCCGGGCTGCTCTCGGAAACAGTCTTGCAAACTCTGGGCCCCCCTCCCACACTGCAGCGTCTCAGGAGACCTGTCTCCCACATAACTGTGTGTGACCTTTTGGATGGGACGTTGAAGCTGCCAATAATGTCTGTCTTTCCTCTTTGGAGCCTAAAGACCATGTCATAGGCATGATCCATGCTAATGAGGAGGGGGTGCTGGGTCCAATAGTTTGGGCTGTGCACTGCATGGGGTGGGGGATGCCACTCACATCACAGATATTGACAAACACATTTATTACAGTGATTCTCCAACAGATGGCAGTAGAGAGCCTTGTAAAACAAAATGAGTCGATTTTTCCAAATTTTCTGACACACTCAAGTTAAGGGTCTTGAAGAAGGTCTATCATTGACGGGTTTGCACGAAGGTGCCCTATGGTTTAGCGGTGGCCTTGTCAAATTAATATTGTTTCTTATTTGACCAAACGAATTCTCTCAGAGCAGGAAAATGTCATCCGTGTGCTTTGGTTAGAGGCTGGTTTTGGCTGTTGGGCCCACTGACAGTAAATACTGGTTCCGCAAACAGTTGCTGTGCCAGGCCTGCCTGGTGTCACAAGGCTTACTCAGGAGAGGTGTGGCATGAGGAGCCCCAAATCCTGACTACCACTCAAGCTCCAAATAACTTCCCTGGGGGCCACGGGAAAGGTCGTTTTCTGACATCGAGCCCCGTGCCTTGTCTCTGCCAAAGAGGGTGGATATCCTGCCTCCTTTCTTTCCTCAGCCATATTCACATCACAGATAAGCTGGGGACCAGCAGGTGGCACAGGAGTTATGTCACTAGACTCTCACATGGCCGACCACTGTTTGAGTCCTGGACCTGGTGGCGTGAAACTCACTCCAGGTGCGTATGCGTGCCCAAGATCCCAGCAGGAGGCTGGAGGAGAAGGGATTGCGATGTGGCCATGCCCCCGGGGGGTGATTTCTCACTTTCCCTCTCACTGTCTCTGTCTCTCTCTCTTAGAAGCACATGCACCCTAAAACAAAAACAAACAAACAAACGAAAAACCCTCAATGAATAAACACTTAAAGAAATTAGCCCAGGTTATGGTTTTGGTTTATAAGGGCGAAAATTCAGAGTTTGCTGATGAACTCTGAGAACCCAAATATTAAAAGATGCATAAAATAGACATTAGATTTATAGGTAACAAAAATGATTAATAAGTGGAGAATCAGGAACAGAACGCATGTTTTGTTTGGTGTTAATTTCCCCCGGGGCTGGCCCCAGAGCTCAACCACTGTTAAGCACGGTACATTGGGAGCTGGATCGTCCATGGCTGACTGAGGCCCAGCTGTGTGAAAAACATGCAAGGCATGTGTGCCCCAAATCCTGGTGGGGTGGAGAAATGGAGGGAGAGACCGAGGCGTGACCAGTTCTTTTGTATTTTCTCTTT